ATAAATGAATGGTAAACACAGTTCAGTTTTTAGACTACTTTTGTACAACTGTAGGGACATCGGGGCTGACCTTGCCTGCCAGATACAACATGTGTGTGTCAGCATCATAGAAGGGAAACAACAGTCCTGAGAGCCCGTCTATGTCCTCCTCCACCATCGGCATGGACAAATCCTCCTAGGAATAACAATGTATACAAACATTGTTTTTAACACACATGCACACTTGATCTACCTGCTGTGGCACTGTATGCATGTATGGAGAAGTGTTGTCTGACCTGATCCCAGAGAGCGATCTGCCGAGTGTTCCAGCGAGAAACCCCTGTGGTGAGCAGCCGCTTCATATTGCCCAAGAACACAACTCTGTTTACGCGGTGGTTCTTGCAGCTGGCTTGCTGATGGAGCAGCACACATAGAGAGTGTGAGGCAACATACACTTGCTAGGAAGTTAACACTCTAATATGTTAACAGAATATTCTTGTGACAGTAGAAAGCAGAGCGTTTTTCAGAAACCACTAAAACATGTCAGTTTATCGTCATCAGCCAGGTCCGCCTCACCTGAAGGACTCTCCCGGAGCGTGGCTCAATGACACGCAGCTTCTTGTCTTTGCAGCTGGTGGCCAGCAGACTGCCGTCTGTATTGAAAGACATGCTGAGGATGACGTCAGTGTGGCAGTCGATCATTTTCACCGGCTCGCCTATCTCCAGGTTCCAGATGAGGATCTAACTCAGTCGGGAAAAATTGTTTTGGTGGAGCTGTTAGAGGGCTGCTGTACTTCAATTAAAATGATCATAAATAGAGATATAACTGTGTTTGTTGGGGGTGTGGCTGTGTTGTTTTTGTACCTTGTAGTCGTAGCCTGCACTGAAGAGGATGCCGCTGCTGGTGGGGTGCCACTCGATCAGACCCACCCGTCTGCTGTGACCGTACAGCTCCAGCACTGCTTCCATCATGTTGCGCCTCAGGCCGCCCTCTGGGATCTCCCATACTCGCACCTGCAACATTTACCAACGCACACCGAGGTTGTTACTGGATACACAAATATACCTACAGGTTTGCTCATTCTCACAAAACATGATAACAAGTGACATTTTTATTATTCTGTTTTTGTTAGCAAATTATCAGGACTACTGCGTGCTTTCACAACACATTAGTATGAACTCTAAACCACAATCAGGAGGACACAGCTAGAAATCGTCTGATCAGAAATAGCACAAGCTATCAATGTAGCCCATTGCATTAGGATTAGACAGGATTACTGCTATGGATAGAGGCTCTGTGTCAGACCAGATCAGATTATCTTTGAACATGTGAAAGTACTACACAGAGCACAGTGCTACCAATGCTGTGCAGTATTCACTAGAGTAATGTAACAGGTACATGTATCACAAAAAAAACAGCCTGTAGGGTAACAGTGATTGTTATTTTATTTTGTGCCTAATGTCATTAATATAGCAAGCTGCTGAAAAGCTAACTGATGTTTGCCTATTTGTCGTTTTCAAACCTCACAGCAGCAACAACAGCACACCGTAGGATCGGATCAGAAGCTCGTGTCCAGTACAAACCGTATGAATCAGTAACCTCTGACCATATTAAACTGACGACCTATTCACCTTCTGGACTAGTGGCTGTCAACCTCAGCATTTAAGCACATACAAGAGAATTTTTTTAGAATCTTAAAAGTCATCAACTCATAAAAATGGGAGTTAAAAAGAATAAAGTGGATCACTTACTGAAGTGTCCTCGGAGCAGGACGCTATGATGTTTTCACAGAAAGGGTTCCACTTGATATCCAGCACGTTGCCATTGTGGCCGCACACTTTCGGGTGATGAGAGTCCAGGCGGCCAGACTGAAAGCACGTACAACATGCAGATGAAACGCGTACAGTATGTCACTGCATAAATGAAGAGGTATTGTTTGCAATCGCATCACTATAAAGGAATATTACTGGAAAGAATCAGAATCAAAATCATCACAAATTGCACAAAACTTTAGTCGAAACAAAAGACATTTTAAAGACAATATTAAAGAATAGCATTAATTTTTAGAGAATGTTACTGAGCAGAACTCATCTTTGCTCCTTTTGATGTGAACATGAAAGACTCACATCAGTGAGATGTCTCTATCACTTCTGAACAAAGCAAAGCAAACCCGGTTATTGTACAGGGACAACCGAGGCACATTATTATTATTACTGCAATAACCTACAGAGTCCACAGAGGGGCACTGGCTCATAACAGCAGATGACAGGAAGCTCTTCATATCGGTCATGATGTCATGAATGTTTGATGTCCACTCAATTCACTGACCTCTTTTCAGATTTCCTTAGAGATTTGCTTAAGAGCACTGGGTCATGCACCTGTGAAATCCCATGTGCGTCTGCATGCACGGTCCTTGCTGAACCCTTAAGACTTATTTTGGAGGCATTGCCAAGCTTTAGCAAAATTTTCATAATAAATATCTTTGAGAATGCATTAAATTGAAATTTCAAGCTATTTCCTTGCAAATCTTTCCCACCACAATAAAAACAATAAATGTAATTTTGTTACAACAGGAGATAAAATATTGAAAAAAATTTTTAAGATTCACAGTGAAGCTTAGATTTAAAGAATTCTTTGTCTGTGTGAATGCCAAATTTGGTTAGCTGTAGTCAAACAGCTCAAAAAGAGCAAAGCAAGAAGTCAACCCGGGAAATAAAGGTAAGTTTCAAGGTAACACACTGCCAATACAGTGAGGGCTTTGCAAACAAATCAAAGAACAAGAGCCAAAATCAGTCTCCGGCAGAACACAGCCACCGTGAAGCTGAACATCCAATTAGTCAGCATGAGAGAAGAAATGACTAAGCAAGGCAACTCGATTTAATAAACACAGCTAACTCAGGCACATCAGGAGTTCATAATTAATGTAGAGCACTGGGGTAATAAAATCTCCCCTTGAAAAAAACCCCCAAAGAACAATGACAAGCTGTGCCAATATAAGTTCTGATGACACATTATTATTAGGGAACTTTCATCATTAATGAAACAGGATCTGAGGGACTCCTTATTTGGGTGGAACTAATTACCTGCACAGAACATAACATCCGTTGGGAATGAGAGGGTTCAGAGGCTCTAATGGGTATTATAAGCAATTACATTTATAATAGGACATAAAATGAATAAAACAGACTTTTCACAGCTTGGATTTCACCCTCAATTTTTATCTTTCTACCACGCATGAAATTTAATATAACATTATAAAATAGCCTCGTTAGCTGCAACCACCTGCTAGACTTTATCGGACAGGAAAGCGTTAGGCCTGATGGTCTTTAGTCATTTCCCGAGGCTGTGGCACATATGAGCACTTTCTGAGAAGAGCAGATGTGCTGGCCAGGTACCAGCATCTCCAATACGCCAGCGGCACCACGCTGCGGTTGCTGCAGACATTTATCGAACTGTTATTCCCAATAAATCTTTACTAATGCGACTTACCACTGCTGCTCTGTCACTGCAGCAATACTAACAGCTGACATCGAACAGAGTCATGTTTCCAAAATGTAATATGGTTCCCCCGATGAGAACGAGGAATTATGTTTCAGTAACAGAACGGGACGAACTCAGCCATGGTGACACTGTTCTATAAACCTGATATTTTTATGTATACTCTGTGGCGCATCTCCCATGTGCCTCACGACACCTCAGCCAGCTGAAGTGAACCTGCTGAGTCACGCTTAACTTAGATAGATACCACACCTATCTATCTATGCATCACTATTACGCATATATCTGCTGGTAAAATATTAGCTCAATGACTTTATCAGAGAAATGAATTCCAACCAATTAAAATCCTCCATACGCTGCATCATACAGAGTAAAGCAGTAGTAATAGGAATAATAGTATGTTGATTCACAACGCACCACACCCACTGCAATTGCCTCTTTGTCTGAGGTGATGAAGAGGTGTTTGTGACCTTGTGTGTCATTTTCAGAGCCAGGCTGTGTGCCAGGTGGTGCCAGCAGTAGTCCGTCCACTTTCTAGCGACTCTGTCTGAGGGGCAAACATATGGCTGTCTCGCCAGCTGTCATCATAATATGTCTGCCATGCTCATACCTCACCATTAGCCAAACCCCTACAGATTGGTCTGTTTATCTAACAGAGGAGCCAGAGCTTCATTTTGAAATAGCGTGGGTGCCTTTTGTAAAGAAGTAAAAAATAAATAAAAAGTTTATTTTTCCTGTGGTAACCATGTAATGGCCCCTTTCATACAAACAACAGCATGTGCCATCTTATATATGCTGCCTTATTTTAGGTGAAGCCTGTAAAATAAGATTGAAAACACAAAATAAACTTCATGTCTGCCTTCCTGCATTAAACAGCAGTCTCCGTCACACAGAAGCTGTGCTGTTGCTGAATATGATAAATGCCACTTGTGAATTTATCCACTCAGCGGAAACCTGAGCAAACGCTCAAGTCCAGTACTTTCATTGTAGGAAGAAATCTATTAAGTTCTAGCTGTTGGCTGGGTTTTTACACACAGCAGCAAAAGTACAGTGGGGAAATACAAGTTTTGGGTTGTTTGATTTTATTCATTACTGGAGATTCAGATTCAAAAGATTTAGATTATTGCAATTTTCCCCCAGGTTAATAATTAAAAACATTTCTTTCCTGTCACAAAATACAGTTTCTATAAAACTGCTGCCATAATCATTTCATTTTGATGCTCACTGTGTGTGAATTTTCTGACTCACGAGACTTCCTCTTGGACTGACTGGCTGGACTGAAAAACATTCAGCGCTTTCTTTTAGTCACTGAAATCTGTCAGACTTTCTCTTTCCATGTGTGGAAGCAACCTTTTTTCTTTCTTTCTTTTCATTTTATTTTTGTGTTATTGTTTCACTGAATCCTTCCTTGAAAAGCCTAAATAAACAGTGCTGCACAGACTTCTAAGACACCCCTGACGGTTATCTACAGCTTCACCAGTTTTAAAGACTCTAATGAATCTACCTGAAGCAGCATGGATAAACAAAATGATAACATCTTGTCCTAATTAAATTTATTGGAAATAAAATACTTCTATTAACAGACAAAACCAATCACTTGAAAAATGATTCTCTGCACTCATAAAAATGAAGCAATTATTTGGAGTAAAAAGCAGCTGAATTATATACAGTCAAAGGTTTATTTGTTCAAATAATTAAACATTATGGAAAATGTGCTTGGTGTAAACAGATTACCAAAGATTCCATTAAATGTAACATTTCACAGTGTACCTAAAACAAAAAGTGTATACAAACATATTATGCATATATATATGGTGTATATAACCCATATTTTTGAGTTTATCTATTTATATAACAGCAGATCTGCAGAACTTTACTGGACAAAAGTCATGAAACGCCTTATTAAGTGTATGTGCACATTATGTACTCGATACATCTGTATATAAAGTTATGCATCCTGGCAACAGTGGATTGCTTCAGTTTTCTGTGATAACGCCATCATCAGCTTTGGACTTTTCAAACCTGACGATCAATGGACTTGATTTATTTAGAAATACCACTCTGTGGCTCTGTCTACCAGTTCAGCTGCACTTTACATTCACACATAACGAGGCTCATATAATAGATCTACTTAAATACATTTAATGACAGGTGTTACGTACATTTATGCTTTATTTATGACCAGAAAAGAAGATTCTAATAGGAAACAAAGTTGGAGCCTTGACAGTCATTAAAACAATGTTTCAAATAAATAAACTACACCACTGACCCAAGATTTGTGCGAAACTTGATCACAATCACCCCTTCTCTACCTGTGTTAAGGCACTGAATAATCACCAGAAAAATCAACCTTCGACCTATTTTGTATAAAACATTATCAGTGCATTATTAAACCGAGTTGCCCCTGAGATGTGATCTTCACAAAACCGGCAGCTCAGAAAGCATAATTACCTCTGGCCAGTGCTGTGACGGGTGAGTATGCATAAAAAGCATGACATCATCTGAGAGACTCACACCAAGTATCTAATAAGCTAAACAGCAAACGCCCACATGCACACACAGGCGGTCTTTTTCCATGACTGAACACGTTAGCTCACGATGATGTGACGTAAAATCTAGCTGAAGTCTCTCTGCTTCGGACAGCAAAACTGTTCAGCTTACTGAATGCTTCTACTGCCTGATAACAACCAGACTTGACCCTGCTTGGCAGCCAAGAGCTTTGCAAGCACCTTGGCATGGTCTCTCTTAAAGAGGCAAAGCACTCTGTAAGGCCCACAAAGCCATCTAAAAATGGGAATGACATTCAAACTAAAACATCCCCTTATTGAAAAGTTACACTGAACTCACAAAAATACACTATCAATTGATATAAAACTGGAAACAATTGGGATTCGACTGAAGACCCCAAAATGATCATCAGAAACTTTTTATCAAACCCAAAATAACCAACACACATAATATGTGGGAACAACTTTCAGTCAAATTTACATGAAAACATGTTCTTAGCTAACTTTTTCACTTTCTTACTGCTGCTATTTACCGTTGCTACTCAAATCAGGACTAGTTTTGCATCCTGTATATCCTACAAAAAGCAGTGATGCACGGTCTGTTTGCTAAGTGTGAAATGAAATATCATTGAGAACAGGCACAATCCCCTTTCCCATAATAAGAAAAGGAATTTTGAACTTTCCAGTAAACAGAAACCTTTTGTAGTGTTTATAGGCAATATCACTATGCCTTTATATTGTGCTACTGGCAGTACAACCCAGTTACAATGCTGGCCTTAGATTCTGGCTTTGCAGTGGCAGTTAAACTGTGCTTCATTTGTGTGGAAAGAGCTCTGCAACTTGCCGATTTCACTGTGCAGTCAAAGACGATTAAAGTAACAGAAATTTTACAGAGCAAGTGGAAAAAATGCATACGAATGCAGATTTATCCTGCAAGAATTTCTCTTTAATTATGAGTTACTCACGCTATTATTTGTGTTTGACTTTGTAAAATTTACTCATTTTTCTTATTCTGAAGGATATAGGAGCAAAGAGCTAATTCAGTGTTACCTGGGATACAGGTATAACAATGAAAGAGCCTCCGCCGGCACTCTCTGTGACGACTGCCAGGAACTTGGAGTTGACGGCACAGAAGTGGTTGTCATGGACATTCTTGGTGATGGGGATACCGTCGAAGCAGTGCTCCCGGTTGGCTACTTTTCCATAGACATTTCGAAACTTGGAGCTTCGGTACGTCGGACGCCATGACATCTGAAAAAGAGAGATGTGTCACAGATAAACAATCTGAAAAATCAAAGATGTTATAAAACGCAATGATATAAAACAGGGGAGAAAAAGCCTCACATTTCAGGAAACTAGTTCTAGTGAAGGCAGTAATCTGATAAATAACATGATGTGTTTTGCGACTAATTATACTAAACGATTGTCTGATGTCTACACTGGAGTTTCGTTGCGTGAAATACTAGTACTGGTTTGTAAATTAATAATTG